TAAACCATCTGCATCCAGGTGTCATAGTGCAATTTCGGGGGAGGAAACTGCTCCACAGCCCAACACACCCTTTCTTGTCCACCACAGCTGTCCACTCCTTAGCTGATATCAAATCTGAAGATGAGCTGAGCCAGCTCTTCCCAGAGGCCATTTTCCCCGTGTGTCCAGAGGGTGCGGACACTTTGGAGGGATCCATGGACCAGCTGAAGAAGGGCCTTGAAAGTGGGACGGTGCTGATCCAGTTCGAGGTAAGAGAGCCCGAGGGCACACCCCACAGCTGGGCCCCAGGTCTCGGGGGCTGCTCAGGGGCTGTTGAATCAGCCCAGACTCGGGGGCCCAGGCCCATCATGCAACACAGGTGGGGCTCCGAGCACAGGGCAGTGGAGCGGCCCAGAAAGCGGGACCACGGCCCATCCCTGAACTCTGCCTCACCCTCTTATGCCAGCGATGTTTGGTAGTCATGGAGAACACGTCAGAAATCGAGGAGGAGGGACTCTGAGCTATTTAGCTGCCAGCACAAAGGTTCCAACAGCTCAGCGGTAGAAGGTGGTAGAGAGGTGGCGTGGGTGAGCGCCCGTGACGGCGCCCGTGACGAAGCCCGTCCCCGACCCCACCATCCCTGACCCACCGGCATCCTGCAGAATTTGGAGGAGTTAGCGCCATCCCACGAAAGCACAGTGGCTTCTCTCCCCAGGTCCCCAGACCCCTGTGAACATTAGTAGTAACCAGAGTCAGATGCTGTCTTCCTTCCCCACACGCAGACTTGACAAAGCAAAGTAGGACAAAGAAGGCTCAGTCTTTAAGTCAGATTTTCTCATCTGCTCACTAGCAGAATGAAAATGGAGTGTGTTTATCATCCCAGTTTTTCTCATGGTAGTGGAAAGCACAGTAGTCCACGCAGTGGAAGATAACAGAAGAAAACAGATCATGATTAACACCAACACACCGTTTGGATTCATAAATGAGGAAAGACGGTCTCAGTTCGAATTCGAAAGCAGAAATCCGCAATTCATTGTTTATTTGTAGAAAGGAAAAGGTCACAGAAGGAAAACTCGGCAGTCTGTCAAATGTATGGGACCACGTACTGACGCAGGCAAGCGGGAGTACTGTGAATATCGAACAGAAAGGAGTGCAGAGCGCAGAGTGCTGAGTGCGGACAGGTGTATCTTGCAATGGTGTAAGGAACAGGATGTAAATAGAATACATTATTAGAGTGATGTATTGAACAATAGTAGAAAATAAAACTTACAAGTGAAGGGTGGAGATAATTGACCTCACCTCCTCCCCAAAAATCAATAGGGAGTTTAAAACTTAACAGCCATGGCACATAATATAGACAAAAAAAAATAAGCCCATATCTTGTGGAAATGAAATCAGGATTTAGGCTAGGAATACTATAATTGCTTGGGTAGAATTGGATAGACATCTGCTGAGAATCTACAAAGAGAGGAAGCCCTTCTTCCCCGTGGCCTGCGGGAGGCTATGCAGGCTGAGGACTTTAAAAGAAGAAAATGGAGAGGTTATGTTTTCCGGCCTTGCATTGCAAAAAAGTTCAGAATTGAAATACATATTCTAAACACTAAAACTGCGTAGTTTTAAACACTCTCCGAAGTAATTGAAACAAGGAGAACTTAAAAGCCAGATACAGAGCATATTAATTTTATTCCTTTTTTGGTGTTGGAGGAGATGTCAAAGGAGAAAGGCACGGTGCAGGCATCCATCCATTCAGGGGCTGTGTTTTAGGTGTCCACCATATGCCGAACACTGGATCAGGAACACGGTGAAGGAGGGAGAAGGTGGATTTCTGGTCCCAAGAAGTTTGCAGTCTAATTTTAGTATATTTGAGGAGATGTATCATGAATTCCATAAACAGCTAAAGGCCAAGATAGGGCAAGAGTTCATTACACAGAATGTATGTTCTATAGAAGCGGGAGGTGAGAGTGTTTCAGGGGGTCCTCTGGAGTAAGATGTGGTTAACAGAGGATGGATGGGATTAGGCCAGGAAGGTCACGGCCTAAATGCAGATTAAGCTCATAGGGTGTCAGGTAGCAAAGGGCCTACCTGGAGTGAGAAATACAACAAGGAGCTTTGGGAGATGTCTCCAGGTGATGAAGCCCTCCAGCCCAGAGGGAACCAGTTGTCTTTGATCACACTGTCCACAAGGAGGCACCGTGTGCTCTCAATGAGGAAGACGACCAAGCTTGGTCTTAACCTGTGCTCCAGAAAATCACCTCCACTAGGGGGTCTCTACTTTTATGTTTTACATATGGGAATCCCACATAAGGTTTTCCTTGAACAACATTCACTGAACTTCAAGAAATGGTTTTAAAATGCTTTAGAGAGAAGTACCCACCTGCCCCCATGTTTCTGAGTAGTGTTTCTCAAAGGATGACACTTTGAGCATCTGTAGTGATATTACCTGAAGAGCTTGTCACACTGGGCCCAACCACAGCTCCTGAATCAGCCACGCTGGGATGGGGCCTAAATGGTGATATTCAGCCAGATCACCAGGAGGTTGTCCAAGCTGATCCAGAGGATGATGGGAGAAGGGAGGGTAAAGATTGTACCCTAACTATTGTCCCATTGCCGCTCATCCCACATCCTACTTTTAGAGCTTATTGTTGGGCTCAAGCATCTGAAGTAGACAACACAGAACTTCTAGGGTTAAATTTCAGTTAGGTACACATTTCCACTTCTTTCATTTGGTCTATGTATTTCCTAGAAATTAAGTAGAGAAATCCTCTTTTAAAATAACATTTGCAGTATTCCAGAATGCAGAACACATAACAGCAGAGGTGCTTTGTGATGGAGCTGATGGGGTACATGGAGTCCTGCCTCAGTCTCCCCACACTGTCCCAAGGAACCCTAGACAAGGCAACATAACTAACCAATCACTACTACAGATGGGGAAAAGATGCCCTACACATCTGCTAGAGAAGAATTCGAAAGCCAGAACAAACCAGAAACTAAGACAAAGGGAAACCTTCAATGAGCACTTGCTATGTGCCAAGGGAGTTACATGCATCATGGCACAGAATCCTCACAGCAGCCCATCGTATAGATGAAGGATCAAAGTCTGGGGAGGTTATCGCACAGGTAATAGCACAGCCAACTGGAACCCAGGCAGGCTAACTCAAGAGCTTGCTCTCTTAGCTATATAACCTTTGTGAACAACAGACTATTTACTTATGAGAGTTGTTGCTGGACTAGTACAATATCAGAGCTAGAAAAAAGTCTGAGAAGCTATCTGACTGTATGCAGCCAAACAGACTTTAAATCCTGGCTCTACCACTCTCTTCCTACATGACCTTGGGCATGTCCCTTCACCTCTATGGCCTCTGCTTCCCCGTCTGTCAATGGGTGTCTCATGGGTTGGTTGTAAGGGTTAGATGAGATAAATACAGTACTTAATGCATTGTTTGGCACATGGTAAGAGTGCGATAAAAAGTAACAACTATCATTACTTATAAGTAGAGTCTCCAGGAGTCTAAAGAATATGCCCAGTCTCCACACAAAGAATAATCATGTCACGTTGGGATTGGACCTGGGGCTGCCTGACCCCAGAGTCCCGGCAGTTCTGGTTCTCCCCGAACTCTTCCAGTGCTATCAGCAGGTGGCAACTTGGCTGCTGGGAGCCGTGCCCTGGACCAGGGCAGGAAGAGATGGTGGTTCCTAGCAGGTGCCCACACCGTCCACTCCACCACACAATGGGCCTGCCCTGGGGTAGCTGGGCCACTGTGGAATCCCTCCCACTCCCATGGTGGCCAGCGGGTTTTCAGCGCAGTTCACTTTGAAGCTTATTCTCATGAAGGTAATTCCTGTGCCCCCTGCCTCCCCTGTGGCTTTCGATAAACAGTTACAAATGTGTTTTGGAAAGCATGTGGTCCCTGCTGTAGCAAAATCGCAGTTAATAATTAGCATTTCTGTAGCACTTTGGAATCTGCCAAGTGTGTTTCACATGTTGACACTCACAGCAGTTCTGTGAAACAGATATGGCCAGAATTACTAGGGTCACTCCTTTATTGATGGAGAAAATGAGGCTCAGAGGCGAAGGGACTTGCCCAGTGTCACACTGGTGAGAGAGAGGTCTCGGATTAGAATCTACGTTAAAAGTCTAATCCATTCTCAGAACTCACCATTGCCGGTGCGACCCAGCTCTTCACCCAACCTCCAGCATGAGCCCTCCCCCCCCAGCAGCTGCTCTGTCTGCCTACTCAGTGTGAGCAGTGTGGCGGCATTTGTAATGGGCCTGAAACTGCCTAGATCTCTACTCTGTTCAACCAAGGTAGGGTGTCTCATGTAAAGGAGATTTGGGGTTCACATAGCTCCAAGTCCATTAGCACCTTCAGGACACTCTCTTCCTTTAAGGAACTCATCCATTCAGCCCCAGCTTCATTTCTTCCCGAGAATAACTGTGGCTCAGTCCATGCTTGGCCTGAGTTGTATATTCTACTGAAGCAGGGAAGGCTTTGCATTCCGCATAGACATCCCTGGAGGAAAGCCAAGTAATGATGCTGACTTGTCCTTTGAGAGCCCGCATCCCAGCAAAGGACCCTGCACCCATCCTCACCCAAGGACCACGTGCCTTGCAGCTTCCTTGCCCAGTTAAGGCCTCTTTGGAGCCTTGTGGAATGTGGTTGATAGAAAGTGAGGGACATCTGTCCTCCTCCCTCCTCAGCTGCTGCGTTAGAGCAGTGGCTGCAAGACTCACCCAGCAAAGGGCACGTCAGACTCGGGTAGCCCGCCATCCCCCTTCTGCCTCTCCCATCTGCACCCAAACCAGAAGCCATGTTCTTCTGACCTGTTTTTCCCTAACTCGCTCCTCCACCACCCCTTACAGGAAACGTCCACTCGTGTGAACACAGGTGACTCACTGGCTCCTATGATCATTATAAAAGTTGATTTGGGAGGACAGAGGTGGCTGGAGACTTAATGAGAGGTTTAAATGGACACACGTAGGAATTAGTTAAGGCAGTTGTACCTTTAAGATTAGAACTCACCTGCATCCACTGATAGACCTTGAACAATCTGTTGTTTGGGTTTGCAGCAGGAGGCAAGAAATCCCTGCGCTTTCTGTCTGCCTGTGTGGCGGCCTGGATTGAATAGGGGACTACATCTAAGAAAAAGAAAAAAAAGATTACAACTCACATCTTTAAAAACAAAAAATTCTTTTAAAAAATATTTCGAATGGTTTTTACCTTTTTTAGTTTTTTTTTTTCTTTATTGCTTTTTAGAGAGAGGAAGGGAGAGGGGAAGAGAGATAGAAACATCGATGAGGGAGAACATCGATTGGCCGCCTCCTGCATGCCCCCCACTGGGGATCAGGCCCACAACCTGGGCATGTGCCCTGACCCAGAATTGAACCGGCGACTTCTTGGTGCAGGGGTCGATGCTCAACCACTGAGCCACACCGGCTGGGTGGTTTTTTCTTTTTTTAAGAAAGGAAAGCATTATATATAAAGCGTGCGGAACACCAGGAGCAAACCGAGGGCTTTACATTCCAAGCGCCGCCTCGCGTGTCATGTCTGTGCAGGAACGAATCCCTCCCGTGCCAGCCGAGGCAGCCGCCTCCAGGACTGCGGGTTTAAAGCAGCACTGTTGGAGGCCCCAGAATTGTTAGCCACACTGTCCGTTCATTTCAGCAAACCTTGGGGGGAGGCAGAGGGAGGTTCCAGGTCTTTAGACAGTGTCCCTGCCCACGCTGCTTGGGTCGGGTTCAAGGGAAAGGGGAGTCCCCGGAGTGAATTATAGTGTCTGCAAAGTGGTTCTAGGAACACAGCCTCTGGGGGCCTTCCTAAAAAATTAGTTACCCTTTGCTTAATGATATGACTCTGTGCCACCTGTTGTCATGCTTTACTCAAGTGGCTTCCACCCTTTGTTTAAGGCAGCAGATGTCATTATTCCTTAATGCTACGAATTTTCACTAGGCACCTACTGTGTGCCAGGCACAATGCCAGCCTAGGGTTTATGGTGGTGATCAAAACAAACAAGATACCTGCCTTCATGGAGACTATAGTGTGTGGTGGAAGCAGACAGTATACAGCTGTTCTGAAAGACATTGCCCTACAAGTAGACTTTTTGGGTCATTGCTGAAGGCATGAAAGGGAGTCTATTTCTGTTTGCTCTCTCCTTACCCATTGTCCCTTCAAGTCCCTCCCCCCTTTTCTTCCCCCTTTTTCTTCCTCCCCCTCCTCCGGTTCTCAGCCTCCAAGAATTCCCGCGGGGATTTGCCCTCCCCTGCCGGTGGAGTGCTTGGCTCCGTGTGGGCCCTGCCGGCACCACTGCTGCACCTGCTGGGTGCCTGGAGCCCTCGTCTGGGGGGCGTGACTAGATTTCAGGTTGGTTGGACCAGAAGCTGAGGAGATCGGAATTGTCTCCTGATGCCCTCTCTGTCACGTTCCATGACTTTTCCAAAGAAGAAATGTTTAAACTGGAAAAGCCGCGTCGTCCTGCCCCGACGGTGCTGGACAACTCCCACTCCCAACGTTCCGTTGTCTGTCTTTGGAGGCCAGAGCCGGTGATATGGACACTGTCGTTTCAATCTGGTCGTTCCACAGTAACCCCGTCGGCAAAGCTTTTTGTAGTGTTCCTAGGTTTCACAGCGTCTTAGAACTGTACTCTAAGAACAGAACACAGAAATTCATAGTTTTTTGTTGTTTTTTTTATCCTCATTCGAGAACATTTTTCCATTTTTTGTACAGACAGAGTGGGAGGGAGAGAGAGGAAGAGAGAGAGAGGGAAACATCGACGTGAAGGGACACATCGAGTGGCTGCCACCCGCACAACCAACCAGGGCCGGGGACAAACTGCAACCGAAGTACATGCCCTTAGCGGGAACCGAACCCAGGTCTCTCCGGACCGCAGGCCGACACTCTAACCGCTGAGCCAAACTGGCCAGGGCAGAAATTCATAGTTTTTAATAATACTCAGTGGTCTTACAACCTCTGTACCTATGAATGTCCCCAGGGACTGAATGTCCCCTCCTCTTTGCTCTCCTTCAAGGGCAGAATTCAAGGATCGCTCTTGCCCGCCTCACACATGTTCAGCCCTGACTAAGTAACACACTGTCCTTTTCCAATGAGGAGTTCTGGAAAGCACCTTGTCTCAAAGTTCAACTAATGTTAGAGTCCTTACTCATTTCCCTCCATCCTTAAACCTTCCGGAAAGGTGCACCTGTGTTTCCAACTTGGCACTCGGGACCACCTTCCCCAGGCACTGTTTCCAACCCAGACCTGCCGAGCGACTCACGGGGCTGCAGGAGAGTCAGTAAAGCAAAGGAACTTGCAGGTCGGCTCTTACACCTTCCGAAGATGAGTGTGTGGATAGGGTTGAAGCAGTTCATTGGAAATGGGATTCAGTGTTCGCCTTGGCAAGGCAGACATAAGTATGAGAATATTCTCACACCTTCTAAAGGTTCCCAAAAATCTTAGCTTTGTTCACCCAGCTTTTTGTAAAAGTTTTAATTTTCCATTTTATATAGAGATTTTTTTTTTTGCTGTTGTAGTTATTTTTCTCGCATCAGTCATTTGAATTAAAAAAAATATTTTGCCTTACAATAATTCAGAAATAACCAAAGTAAAATTAATATACTATCCTGACCCCCATGTCCTTTAGCATCTTTCTCTTTGTTATAATTTACAGATAATTTGTTCTAATGCTCATGAAAATGCATACACACATATATACATAAGTATGTACACACATATACATATGTATTATACATACTATGTGCATGCTGCTACGGGCTCACTACTGTATATATAATTCTATAACTCGCATTTTTCACTTAAAAATAAATGAATGGCCCTGGCTGGTTTGCACAGTGGTTAGAGCATCTATGAGTCTTCAGACCAAAGGATCTTGGTTCGATTCCTAGTCAAGGGCACGTACTTGGGTTGCAGGTTCAGTCCCTGGCCCTAGGGATCAAACAGGAGGCAGCCAATCAATGTATCTCATATCAATGTTTCCCTCTCTCTCCCCCCCTCCCCCCCCTTCCATTCTATCTCTATCTAAAAAGCAATGGAAAAATCTCCTTGGGAGAGGATGAACAAAAACAATTTTTTTTAATTAAAAAAAATAGATGAATTGAATCCTGGCCAGTGTGGCTCGGTTGTCGTCCCATGCACCGAAAGGCTCCTAGTTTGATTCCCAGTCTGGGCATATGCCCAGGTTGCAGGTTCAATCCCTAGTTGGGGTACATACAGGAGGCAATGGATCAATGTTTCTCTCTCTCTCCCTCCCCCTTCTTTCTCTAAATCAATAAAAATATTTTAAAAAACAGATGGAGATCCTTCCAAGTATATACTTTTAGTCTAATTTTTTCCTTATTGCATGTAGTTTTGTGGTATGACTGTACCATGCATTTCTAGCCAATGAAACCAGGGTGTGCACATGTGAAAATTTTGTAAACACTGCTGTAGTACTTTATTTTTTATTTTTGGTGTTCTACGATCTTATCAACAGATCCTTACACTGCTGAGATGCTTATGTACTCACTATAATGAAAGCCTTTTGCTAGGTCTGTGCTTTCCTGCTGGACCATCTCAAGTTAATTATATTTACGTTTTTTGTTATTTGGGGGGAAAAGTCTTTTTACCTCCAGGTTACCTTTACTGATTATATTTGCTTAATTAGATTTCACTTCTGTGCAGTTAGAACCACTGTGTTATTTAGGGGAATTTGATTCAGATATTCTCCTTTCAGAATCAAACCAAAGCCTCCAATAAATCATGAATTTGTTTCTAGAATGAGCTAGGAAAGTCCACTAAAGTTCGCAGATACTTAAGAAGTCCAGTGGCTACTTGACTGTTATGAGCTAGAATTATAAAGATGATCAGTAGCTGAGCTCAGGGAGAGATTGGACTTCTAAACTCTTGGTAAATGTATAAGATATGACACAATTATCATTACCCAAAATCTCTATGCTAATTCTCTCCTGGTGATTTCTGTGCAACTTGTTTGTTTAATTAAAAAAAAAAAAGAACTAATAAGAGAAAATCCAACAGAGGCTGGTTTACGAAACGAGTAATAAGCTTTGCAGAAACATAAGGGGCAAAATAACATTCAGCCTCCTATTCAGATTGCAGACACATTTAGCTGATGACACTGACCACAATTTGGTGAACTAACCATTTTCATACAGTTGGTTATATGTAAAAGTCCTTCAAAATATGCTTTCAGTACTCTGTTCCTGAGAATTTATAAGAGTAAACAAAAGAAAACAAAAACAGTTTAAAGCCTAATCAGGAAATAGAGTATAAGTCTAAATTATGAGAAACTATAGATTACTGAGACAGTAAATCATGTGTATAGAGAATACTTAGAATATTTAATGACACAGAGAACTAGACACTATATAATACGTAGGAAAAAAATAGGCTTCAAAATTATAGTAATATTTCCCGGAACACTTCTTGTGAGATGTGAGATTCTCCATGGCCAAATTAGCTTGAGAAATGCTTAGCTAATCATAATTAAATAAGCATATGCACTGCAGGGCTTGTCTTCTTGGAGAGTCATAGAATCATAAAATGACTTATAATATTTCCCAAATTTCTTTGACCTTGAAACTTTTTCTAAGGAGTATCTATTAGCTTCTTTCAAAACACTTGGGTTCCAGAGAACACAGTATGGAACATGGTAGCATGTAGTTCAATCGCAGATTTCTGTTTTTTAAAAAAATTATGTAGTATGTGTTTGCATATATGCACATGCATATTTGTATATACATGCACAAAAATATATCAACTGGAGAACATGTATGGGAAAGGTTGCCTCCGGGTTGTGTAATTTTCTTTTTTATACTAATCTGAATTTCCCAAATTTTCTGCCAAAAAAACAGATCACTTCCAGCGTAGAAAAATTGGGTTGTTTTTAAATTCCCATAAAGTTAATAAAACCCACTGGTGAACAGTGTTTCAATTTCGAGTTCAAAGTGGGAGAAACAGTTGTGGGGCCAAGAGGAAACTTGGGAGGGGGGGGAGGTATGTCTGTCTGGATGGTGTTGGTTCCACTGGTGGGTACTTATGCCCAAACTCACTGAGCTGTATAGAGTAGATATGGACTGCTTTTTACATGTCAGTCATACTTCAATAAAGCAGTTTCAAGGGAAACTCAAG